AGAATGATTAGTTATTTGAAGATATTTAGTAAAAATAAAAATAAACATTTCTTAATTTTTTTTGCAATATATATATATATATATATATATAAATATATATATATATATATATATATATATAATGTATAATAAAAAAAAACTTAATTTCTTCTTGTGAAACTATTAATTTTAATTAAAATTTAAAAAATCGTATGAAATCTAATTATCATTAATCAGTGTTGCCACCTCTTCTTCACATTAATTACAAATCGATATCGATTGCTCATACTTAAAATTAAATTGTCAATGTCTTGCTGCGGTATGAGGTCCACGTGAGAACAACGTGTTGTTTGTAAGTTTTCGTGAAGTTGTTGTTCCATCATCAAATTAGGCGGAAAATCTCTCAAAGCTTTTCATTCTAACATGTCCCAGACATGCTCAATAGGATTTAATTCGGATGACTGTGCAGGCCCATCAAAAACTTGAATATCGTGGTCTAGGAGAATGGCCGACACCAGCCGGGCCGTGCGGGAAGGAGCGTTATCGTACATGAGTAGGAATTGCAGGTCCATTTAAATTCTGGGTGAGAGAATAACAGGCCCTAGGCCTAGGTCTCTTTGTGCAGTCATCCTGCGTTGGATCCAAATGAGCTGGATACGTGGTTCGTGGGTCCAAGACGAATTCCTGCCCACACAATGATTGTCCCACCTTGGTATGAATGGTCCTCCTGAGGGTACCGCAGACGGTTAAATCTCCTGGCGTTATTCAAACGCGTGTTCTTCGTAAATCCAGAGAAAACGCAAACCGGGACTCCTCGGTGAACAGCATCAAAGAACATTGTTCGTCACTCCATGGTAAATGCTCCAGAGCCCACGGCTCGTAACATTTCATCTCAACTCAAATGACGACGTGACATGACTCTTAAAGCTCACACGGCACGTTAAATTAAAAAAGAAAAACAATTTAATCTCTTTTCATTTATTAGTATCAGTAGAACAATTTTACTTTTCATTGATGTAACAAATTACTAGCAATTTTTCCGCCGTATTTTGTTTTTTCTTTTTTTGTTTTAGTTTATATTTGTAAGTTTTGGAAATAGAATAAAAGAGTTTTCAATCTATTTTTAAACTTTTTATGGAAACTAAAAAGATTTTAAACTATAGAGTCGTAAATAATTTAGGATTAACTTATCCGTAGGATTCTGTTGATGTGTTTATATTTTTAATTTCTTATTTTAATTCTGATAATATGGCTCCGTGAAAAAATGTCAATCTCTTTAATTTGAAAAGAAAAACCACGACATATGAGCAAATAATTATTTACCACGTTAATCGATTTCGATAGTTTTATTATTTTACTTTTTAGTCGGTTAATATTTTTTGAAAGATTGATTATTTTATTAAACGGATGGATAAACTTTAATGCGGCATCTTTAATCTGACTTATTTAATCGTTTAGTGCTTAGACGACAGATCTGCGTTTCTTTGGTTAGTGTTAGAGCAGTGATAAGTGGCTAACCCATTGCCTACACAATCACAAACCGAATATCTAATTTGTCATCTTAGACGACATGCTAGGCAAGTGTCACATAAACATGAGAAAAACAGTGCTGCTTAGGAACTTTTAGGTTAAGTTTCGTTTTTTTTTAATTTATTTAAGTAATTTATGATTACAAGAATAGACAGTTTTAGTGTAAACATAAACTCATTAGGGTTTTTCGTACAGCATTGCTGTCGACATTATGTACACATTATTCTAATTAACACATTACATTACGTTACATACAATTGATGACAACACAATGTTTCCTTTATCAATAAACTTTGTTTTAAGTTTTAGAACAAGCTAACACAGTTAGCTTATACTATTTTGTTACAGGTTCCACATAAACACGAGACAAACAACAAAATAGGAACTGATAGGCTACAATTAGTGAATTGATGATGATAAAATATTTTCTTTCTAGATAATTTTAGCTTTCAACGTTACAATCATTTTCATCTTCATTCTAGATAAATGAAGATGAAAATGATTGTAACGTTGATACGTGGTAGAGCCATCCTGCAGCTATAGTAGTAGTATAGTTGTAGCACGAATGGGTCGGCTCGACCGGGGAAGGACCACGCTCTTACAGGATTCCAGCGTAAAACAGCAGCTCAACGCTGCTGTGTTTCGTATACTCACGTAGTAGAGAACCGGAGACCCTTTTTACTGGAAACGAGGCATTCCATCTTAGTCCTTACCGGTGACAACGCATCTGCATTTTAATTTGTAAACGAGCACACAGTCCACCATCAGGTGGACTGTGTGCTCGTTTGTCACCCTTCTCCTATAAAAAGAAGATTCTCTCAAGCTGCCACTGCACGGCGGTAAAATAAAACCTGTACCATTATACGAGCATTATTTATTTATTTGTTTGAATTTTGTTTTAATCACGTTATTGAACGGCTCCAACGACTTCTATTAAATTTACAATATATGAGTTTACTGTAGCGGGAAATCATTCTAGCTAGGAAAAATTCATTTCATTCTGGGGAAAATTCATTTACTTCGTGTAAGTCACGCACGCTATTTCGTCACAGATATCATCTTCTTTGTACTTTATTAGCTAGAAAGTAGATCTACAACGAAGTAGTGCGCGGGTTCCATTCCTGCAAATTGGTCAAATGCTTTTATTTGTTCATATCTTAGTATTCTAGTCTATACCTCTGGTCAAAATTTTCGTGTATTGAAAGGAAAAGGGGGTGAAGTTAATTAAACAGTTAATTGATTTTCCTTTTTGATACATTCTTTATCAACCCGAATACACTTCTCAAACTGTTAACTTATTTATATCATCGAAAAAATATTTTATCAAGGCACACAAAATAAGCAGATATTACCGACTTCACTTCTTTGTCATCTGTAAATTTCTGATAATCTAATGATTGTGATATCTTGAACTTCTTAGGCGATGCTGCGCCTTTTTGTGCTACTGTATAGACTTCTGCTTTTGATCAGGTTCATAGGAATGAACCCAACTTTCATCCCCTGTCACAATTCGGTTCATAATTTCGTCCCTGTTCTTACTACACACGTCCAAAAACTCGCGCGAACACTCGACCCGTACTGTTTCTGAAGTTGTGTGAGCATGCTTGACACCCAACTTGCACTGACTTCAGACACGCCAAGATGGTCATAAAGAATGTTTAATATGGTCTTAGATTATACTCCAGTCACTTCTACGATCTCTTTGTCTTCAGTCGAGCATCTTAAAGAAAAAATTTTTAAACTTTTGCATGAATGTCTGAGGGAGTTGCTACAGTCAGTTTTTGCCTTGCTTGAAAAAGTTATGTCACACATAAGTTATCGTTTCCCTAGAGCAGGAGTCCCCGTAAACAGATGACATCTTTTTCATAATGATATGTGGCTTTCTTGCTTGGTAAAGAACTTAATCTAAATTACACGGACAACACGGGAAAATATAAATGTATTTAATAAAACACGGACCATCGCCTGTAAAACGGATCGCGGTGATACCCTAGAGTTTCCTAAATTTACATTAGGTATGACTAGAAACTATTTATTGTGTAAATCCATGAAACACAGTAAAATCTCTTAAAATATAGTGCAATAATAGGATATAAATTAAAAAAAAACTGTGAAAGATTTTTTTAAAAAGCCTACTATAAAGTAGAATCTACTTCTACTTAGCAGATCAATATATTGAAGACAATGATTGCAAATGTTTTACACGTCTGTTCCTCGAAACTTACAAAATTATTTCAAAACAGTTTCAACACAATAATGTGTCCCTCAGGGGAAAGTCCTCTTTTATTGCTGTGGGTCTGACGAAGTAATAACATTCGAACTGTTTTTATTGGTCCCTTTTTATTCGATTATTTGCATGTAAAAGAGGTTTTGATCAAGGTTCAAATTTGGTGCGAGTTTTTGTAAAATTGCTCTGTAAATATGTGGTTATTTTCGAAACTTTATCCTTGTTTTTTCTAGTTATATTTGTAATTTTGCTACGGTCGGAGAACTAACAAATGGGCACACACTCCACCTGATGGTAAGTGGATTCTGAGCTTCATAGACACCTATGTCTATCGTCAATTAAGAATCATAAAGCAGTTATAGTTTTTTTATAGGATAGGGTGACAAAAGAGCACACAGTCCACCTGATGGTAAGTTGCTGCGGCGCATAGGCATCTACATCTATCCTTGATTGCAAAAATCAAAATGCAGCTGCATTGTTACCCCTGAGGACTAAGATGGAATGCCTTGTTTCCAGTAAAAAGGGTCTCCGGATCTCTACACTCACCATACGAAACACAGCAGCATTAAACTACTATTTTACGTTGGTATTCTGTGAGAGCGTGGTCCTTCCCCGGTCGAGCCGACCCATTCGTGCTACAACTATACTACTAATGTAACTCTATCTCTACCACGTATAAAGAGTATATAGGTATAATTCATTATCTGTATAAATAATTTTCATATATACATAAAATTAATGTGTCTGCCCCTAACATCACAATAGCTACACTCTATTGAGTACAATGGCTTCTTGGCTGCTAATAAAACCATATCCACATGTTTGTTTGTTCTTCCGCGCTAATGTTTATAATGGCGACATCGTTTGTGATGAAACTTCACAAAAAGTAGAGAGCAATGTTGGAAGTGATACAGGCTATATTTTTTTAAAATTTGGAGATTTTTGTCTATATCAAAATTAAATAATGCCACGTTAACGGATTTCACCCTGGCGAAGCTGAGACAGGTTGTTAATATTATAATATATGGCTTTTGTTATATCAATGAATTATAACATTAATATTTCTCATTATTTTTTAATTAAGAAACTTTATTTTTTTTATTTGCCGACATTCTTCCCTATTCACATGAACAGCTAGTATACATTTTACGTTCTTCGAAAAGCAATCAACAATTCGTCATCAAGTTTATAAGTGTCTTAAAAAATAAATGTGAAAGTGCTAATCCGGTACTTTGTGATTTTGTGAAGATACACCAAATCAGAAATGGGTATGTACTTTTTTGTGTATATGCATATGCGACAGTTATGTTTGGTCTATATAATTTCCTTTGCAGTGCACAGGATTCCTCTCAGTTCTTAATGACTTAGCTGTTGATCAGTCCACCGCACTGCTGCAGCGCCTGTCTGCCAACTTCGCCTCGAAATATTTTATTGTTTTTCTCACGATGGTTTTTTCCTTCCCCGCAACCGGGGGTTGTTCTCACCAGCTGCAATGAAATTGCAAGTTGTATTTGAAATAAGTGGTGTACCACGGGTTCAGCTTTAATGGAAAACGTCGTGAGGAAATCTGCATCTTTAAAATGTATAAGAACTAAATTTTCGGATGATATGTTAGATCTTTTTAATGAAACTAGTTTTTAGGGATTTTTTCAGGGGCAACTGAGTTGTTTGACGTCTCAATGTCACAGTTCACCACATCTATCTTCAGTTTAAAATCATGGATTCTTGGTCCGATCTAGGCAGGGTGAGTCTATAATACCTTGACGTCTAGCAGTTGTTTACTTAAGTTGTGATAAAATTTTAACTGTTATAGGATCCTTAGGAGACGGCTACACTCAGACATCATCTTCTATTATAAAAAAATAAAAAAAATAAATTATCTATAACATTGGGACGTCACTCAGTCCCCCGGTGACTATGGGTGCTTTAAAGTACTCGAAACGTTGGAAATATAAAATAAAATATACGCAATAAAATCAGTAAAAACTAGTTGCATTTATAGCTCTACTGTTCATGTATAAAAATCACTATGTAAGGTCTGCCAACAAGCATTGAGGTGGACACTTTCTTGCTCCAAAACCTTTCAGAAATGTGTCGAAAAAATGGGACGTAATGTAGTAATGCTCACCAGACCAAATTTCAGGACAGAGGTCTGATGTGCACGAGTGTATGCCCAAGCACAGGTGCAATCTCTATCCCCTCACTCCCCGCATCTGATTAGACAGCACTCCGCCGTGTACCATAGAATGGCTAGGCGTGCGATAAGAGTCTTTTCATGCTTTCCGAAGTCCGACGAACGAGGGTAAAACACTCAACTTCCTGACTCCGCGCTGCTTTTGACAATTTCTTTACAGAAAAACCCACAAACAAGCCGAACCCAGGATTTGAACCCTAAACCACATAATCAACAACGACACTTACGATCACTAGACAAACTAGGCAGTGTTTACACTATACAGGTGTAACTTTAGTATTTGTTGTTGGTAGAGGAAGAGTGCGAGGAGAGCACGAGCCTCCCTGTGCGGTACCGTCCCGAACCGCCCGCTGCCCTGGCACGCGCCTCCCGGTTCACTGCGCACGAGATCAAGCTCATGTACCGCGGTTTCAAACAGGTCAGTTAGTTTGTTTTAAAACTTGAAGGTTAAGAAGGAACTTAGAGTCCACGTGAAGGTAAGTGGCTACTGTATTATGGAAGTCTACCAGCATATTAATATAAAAAGACGGTAGATGCATTGTTAGGTCTTAAATAGAATGAGGGGATACCGGAAATATATATGTTGTGGTCCATAGACACCGATATCTATCCTCGCTTAAGAATCAAAATGAATTTTATTTTATAACTGTTACGAAATGAAATAAAATGAAAATTCCTTGTAATAAAAGCTCTATTCTGGTTCCTCTGTCCGGAAAAGACGGAAAAAATTCCGCAGTATCCTTTTCCTGTCATTCCGCCCGTAATGTAATTTTCTTAATCAAAATTGAATATGAATAGACTATGGTATGGACCATGTTTGTTGCCTAAGTTTTGAAGGAATAACATTTTGGAGCATTCAGGCCAGAGGCTCGTAACCTACGTGACCTTATGATAAAGTCATAATTCGAAGCAATCACAAAACATACAAAACATCACAGAGGGGGTATTTGCCATAGCTACCACGCTTGGCTGTTTTTTGTTTTTCAAGTATTATGAAGATGAGACTGTTGGCAATCCCTTGGATTGAAATGAAATGAATGATTTTTTATTAAATATAGATTATTATATAATACTTATTGAAAGTCATTTTTTCATTTACCACAGGTTCGGAAAATACCTCTGTCCTGTGAAGATCCAGTAAGAAACCCAGCGGGATTTTTTAAAACATGTTTTACTACACAATAATTTTGTTTGTACAATTTATAAATGAAATTTGAAAGAACCAGCATGGTGGCGATCACCTCATACCCAGGGGTTATTTTCATTTATGTATTCTTTGATATTACAGTAACCGTTTTTGTACAATTCTTCTCTAATAAAACATTTAAACTTGTTTAATGACTAATTTTCTGGGATTTTGTTGTAAAAGCGTATACCTCGCCCCATAAATGAATTACTAATTCTGTGGAGTCTCATAACTGGTATTACAAGCTTATGTCTGATCCTAGTGTTTAAAGTAGGACCATGTATATTCTTATGAAAGATATTTATGTTTTTATGTACATACATTACATTCTCATAAATATATTGCAATTGCAAAGTTAGTATTTAGGTCTTTAAATTTTTCTTTAAGGGACTCTTTACAATTTAAGTTTTAAATCACCCGTACGGTTCTCTTTTTCAAAACAAATATGGCGTCAATGGCATATGATGAGTTTGAGCACCTCATTGTTGTGAGCGTCTACAGACCCCCATGTTCTGTTTTCGATATTTTTGAAAAACTTGTGGAGGGAGTTTTTGTTAAGCTTAATAAACAGAATAAATCTGTAATCCAGAATATTCACACAAAAAACTTAACTGAAGAAACGACCGACATTTATATAAAATCCGAATATGCTCTAAAGTTTTTTGCGTCCCTAAAACAAAATATCGGCTTTCTGAGTTAGTTTTAAGTTTATGGCAACTAAGTGTTGGAATGATCTCCTACGAATGTACTCTGGTTTTTTTTGATACCACAATTTTTCTTGGAATCACAATAGACGCAAAGCTTCAATGGGTACCCCATATATCAAAAGACTTCGTTCTGCAGCATATGCTGTAAATAGTTTAGAAGTTGACTAGCTAGACTAGTTTACTTAAGCTATTTTTATAGCTTAACTTCGTAAGGTTTTTTGCTATGGGGACACGCGACTGGCACTGAAATAATATTTGTTTTACAGATGAGGGCCATTAGAGCAATATATAATTTAAAACCTAAAGAGTCGCTTAGACAAAAATTTATAGAAATTAATATATTAACTTTGGCCTCTTCATAAATTTATGAAAATGTAATGTACGTACACAAAAATAAAAGTATTATTACAAAAATAAGTGATATTTTTCTGTAAATACTAGGAACAGACCCAAGCTAGTAGTACCAGTTACTCTGTTGGTGATGTGTACGCTTTTACAACAACTTTCAATTCTTTTTATTTATAATTTATATCGAATAAAAGGTTTTGTTTATAATCTATATTGAATAAAAGGTTTCAGTTTTTGTTTTTGTCAGTCGCAGTCGAGTGAATAGCAAAATTCCATAAGACATTACGCTATGAAAATAACTAAAATAACCTAATCTAGCTGTCTCAACATTGGTGAAATTTGTAACCTTCCTTAGAGCGTATGCTGCCTGGTACAATGGTGCAGCTATATTAGTACTATAGTTGTAGCACGAATAGTTCGACTCGATCGGGGTAGGACCTTGCTCTTACAGAATACCAGCAGCATAGCAGTATTTCGTATGGTGAGTGTAGGGAACTGGAAACCCTTTTTAATAGAAACGAAGCATTCCATCTCATTCCTCCATTCTGGCAATGCATCTGCATTTTGATTCTTAATCGAAGATACATGTAGATGTCTATGGACCACAGCAACCATCAGGTGGACTGTGTGCTCGTTTGTCACCGTTATTCTATATTAAAAAAAACGAAACACGTGGAACGATAGGGGGTAGTGGATGTTTTTAAATACATAGTGTATTTGTATTTTATATATTATCACGTGTACTTTGTTTTGTTTCCTTAAAAATCATAAAATATTCGTCTTGACAGGAGTGCCCCACAGGAATGGTGGATGAAGAGTCCTTCAAGAACATATTTTCACAGTTCTTCCCTCTCGGAGGTGAGTGATACTTTATTGTACGTCCGTTTTAATGTTTTGGCTTCTTATATCCACGCGAAAACTTGACATGGGAAAAGTAGCTATTTTGTCATAATTATACAAAAATCAAAGTGAAAAATAATCGTGATTTTGCCAAGTAGAAAACGTCGGATACTTGGAACGTTGATACGTTTGGTAATTAATTAAGAACAATCTGTCTGCGTCTTCAAGGCGAGGGTGAATAGTTTTTTGTTACGCTAAGACAGTGCGATTTACCAACTGGCTATCTGCGTTTTCAAATATTCAATAACTTCACCTGTACGCTCGCTTTTCGCGGCACCACATGTGTAATAAACTGCCTCGTTGGTCCAGCGGCCGTGAAAGTGGTAGAGCCATGCTGCAGCAATATTAGTAGTATAGTTGTAGCACGAATGGGTCGGCTCGACCGGGGAAGGACCACTTTCTTACAGAATACCAGCGTAAAATAGTAGCTTAATGCTGCTGTATTTTGTATGGTGAGTGTAGAGAACCGGACACCCTTTTTACTGGAAAAGAGGCTTTCCATCTCAGTCCTCACGGGTGACAACGCATATGCATTTTGATTTGTAATCTAGGGGAGATGTAGATGTCTATGGGCCGCAGCAACCACTTACCATCAGGTGAACTGTGTCCTCGTTTATTACCCGGTCCTATGATAAAAAAGAGCAAATGCTGATAGTCTCGGGTTCGAATCCCGGATCTGTCCGAAACCGATTATTGTGTATTTCTATCAAATAATGTTCCGCGTGCGTGCCTAAGAAAGCACGAAACGCACTCTGCGGTCGTGTCGGATTGCCGCTCTATCACCGTTATCTTTACCATTAAAAATTATCAAGAGTCAGCTGCTGGATAAAGGTCTCCTCCGTAGATGGCCTCATTAGGTGTCTATATGCCATAGTTACACTTGGCAAGCGTGGTGGCAACCACAGCTTTTTATATTTATTCAGCTGTCATCAAGAAGATGCCCAACTTTATTCAGACGCTGATGCGCATATCCTGATTCAGTTTCCCTCTGTTTCCTCTTAGCAACACCTACGGAATGTGAGTCAGTGGAAATTCTTTCATCACCACTGCACGGCCACCGATTCACTCCATGGGTGTCATATTTAAGAGTCAGCTGTGGTAAACACCAAATTAATGTCATGGTTTCGAATTAATAAGCCATCTCGCCAACGATAAATGTAGAAATGACGGCTCAGTGGCGCAGTGGCTTAGCAATGGGGACCGCGAGTTCGAATTTTGCACAGTACAAGTATTTGTATGGCCTACAAGTAATTGTTCCGGGTCTGGATGCATGTATTTTTGAAATTCATGAATATCATCATTACAGCTCTTATAAATTGGTGAAGGTTTGGTACTCACCCATACTAATTTATAATATAGGTTAAAGTAAGCTTACAGCTTACACACGTCCCACTGCCTCGTTGGTCTAATAATTACGACTGCTGACCGTGAGATCCCGGGTTCGATTCCGGCTCGAGCCAAAAAAATTAGTTATTGAGTTTTTCCCTAGCTGTTCAGAGTTAGGAAGTTGGCGGTGTCTCATCCCCGTGCCTCAAAAAGCACGTAAAGCTGTTGGTCCTGCGCTTGATGCCACCCGGTTGTGTCGGTTTACCATCCCATTGGACCATGAGAGTAAGGGAGTAGAGAGTGCACCAGTGCTTGCCCGTACACTTGCACACTATAATTCTATCTTGCGTCTCCGTTGACACTGGCCGCCGTGACCGCAATGCAGTCTGGAGGACGTCCAACTGCTTCGAATTATCTTATTTCTGAGAGGGATTTAGTGCAAGGAAGTGTTCATCGCACTGCCTGAATACGTGTAAGCGGAATTCATATGTCTTCGAAATATTTTTTATATTTAGAGATGTAAGTTTCCTCACGATGATTTCCTTGACCGCAGAGCATTCGGTAAATCAGCACTTTAAACTGCACTTGGCAATATCACAGGTGCGAGCTGGGACCGAACCCGGGTTGTTCTCGTACAATATCTGCGGTCGGTGCTTAGCCCCTGCGCTAGAATGCCTCTAATAGGAAACCTATGTAGTGCAATGTTTTTTTAATCTTCATTAAGTGATCGCGTGCTGGGGAATCCCCTTATAACATGTTAGTATTACGTTGACCTGCAGACTGATGCCCGTTTTCTATTCTAGAAACTTTTCCTTCGAATGACATGATTGTATTATAGTACGTGTCGACAAACAAACACACATTCCACCTTATACCGTACGTGGTAAATCATCTCTTCACATCATCACATCACTACAGCCCAATACAAGTCCACTACTGAACATTCGCCTCCAAGGAATGCCTTTGACGGAAGCCACTTGCATCTACGACATCCTGCATCTCAAAACCAGTCGTCACTCTATCAGTTGTGGGCGGGGTGGGAAACGTACATGTTACTTAGCGATACGAAGCTACTTCGAGCTATATCGTTGGACTATATCGGGTAATCAGGTACGTAACCTTTCATCCCACCGGTTATCGGTTCTTTGAGCTATGTTGGACTATATTGGAAATGAGCGAAACTAAATTATTTATAAACATATACATGACAAAAATAATAGTCAAATGTGAGGGTATTATACCAATATTGTTAACATCTTTGTATAAAATACGTGTTAGCGCCATGCTGCTGCTATATTACAGTTGTAGCATGAATGGATCGGCTATAGTTGCTTAATACTCCTGTGTTTCGTTTGGTGAGTGTAGAAACCCAAGACGCTTTTTTACTGAAGACGAGGTATTCCATCTTAATCATCAGAGGTTACAACGCATCTGTATTTTAATTCTTAATCGAGGATAATTATAGATGTCTATGAGCCACAGTATCCACTTACCATCTAATGGACTGCTTACTTTTTTATAGAAGAGGGGGCAACCGAGCATGCGGCTCACCTGATGGTAGGTGTCGACCGCCGCCCATAAACAACTGCAACACCAGGGAAATCGTGGTTTCGTGGTCGGCCTTTTTTTTAGAAAGAAGTAGGATCTTTTCTTGAAGGTCCTTAAGTCCTATCGGTCAGGAAAAATCGCTGTTTGTAGTCGTAGTAGATTCCACAAGGAAGTTATGCGAGGAAGGAAACTCGTTTGTTACCACCCTACAGATATTTTCCTGTAACTTACCGCTAATATCAAATTCAAAGTGCTCCAAAGTTCATCAAAATTTTCAAGAGAAATTCACGAGAAATCTTTGTCGCAAAATTTCGATTACGTTTAAAAGTTATAGCTCAAAAACTTTTTAAAATTTAATTTTTGTGACTTTTCACAATCTACCGAGCCGAATCGATTCAAACACACATGAAATCTAACACACATCTCGAACGCAACTGCGTTCGATCGGTAGCATTCAGTTATAACTAGTTTACACACACACACACACACACACACACACACACACATACACACACACACACACACACACACACACACACACACACACACACACACACACGCACATATACGCACGCACGCACATACATACGAAGGGACATCCTCGTAGGAATAATTAGAATAGCTTCGTAGGAACTCAAAACGTGAAGATCTGAGAGTGCTCAATTTTTTGAAAATTGTGGTGAAACCAATAACTTCACGATTTTCTTAAAATCATTGATTTTCATAGCGGGAAGTTAAAAAGAGAAGATGTCTTGTAATCTCCCTGAACTACACTTGAAACTATATGCATTCGGGAGATTTTATTTCAAGTATCTACTTTAGTTTAACTTATGATCGAAACTGAAATATTTGTAATTAATTGCATGTCAAAATACAGTATGTCGATATTGTTAACATCCCAAAATTAAATCATGTTTCAAACAAATTAATAATTTATATTTTCATTTTCATTTTAGTGAGGGTACATATTATCTGAATCGATTTGTCACGTAATATGAAATATTT